TTCTACAGTCATACAGAGAGAGAAAGAGAGAGAGAGAGAGGAGATATGACCACGACGATATACTCTTAGGAAGATATTCATGCAAGCATTTAAATACTGATCTGTACTGACTGCCGCTTGGCTGACAGACCAGTATGACATGTTGGTATCATACAGTATACCTCAGTATATTGCTGGAAAATCGATATATGTCAAGTGTTGATATATATATGTTGGTATGGTTTAGTACCCCTAACAATTCAGTTTTGGTCCATATGGTATGATCTGTAAGGGCTAGTATTTAGATTCATGTATTCATGAATTGACCATATAACTAACTAACTAACTATCAAAGTTTTCATGCATTACAGTATTATTTTTGTATACAAGCAAAACCTAACATCCAAGAATTATCCAGAAAGAACCACGAGCACTAGTCTCCTTGGTTGCATGCAAAAGTTCTACTTTAATCCTTCTAGCGATCCTACAGCTTCAGGTAAATGAATTAAAGAATCCCTAAAAGACACTTAGCACAGCAAAGAGAAATCCACTGGTTCCTTCTCGTCATCCCTCTGCACCGAGATACAGTAATCGACCAGTCCTTTCACATCATACCCTCGTCTCAATATTGCTAATGCTGATTAGCAAGATCATTGACATATTGTAAGAGAAAATCTATTATCAGTAGCTTCCCTAAGCCTTTTGCAGAATAGGTCACCAAGAGCAGAATAAACAGAATAGGTCACCCCCAGGTTAAAATCTTAATGCTTAAAAAAGATATTGATGGGTGCCATTTTCCAATTGTTCCCCATGTGCCAATTAACATAATCTAGATACAAACAATATTCATGATGCCCGTTCATTGTATCAAAAAGATTCTATTGTATCGAAAAGATTCTTCCATAACTCTATTGTTCCATTAAATCATATTCATGATGTCTGTACATTCAGAATCTGATGGAGATTATGGTCGATGAGATTCGGGACTAGTTTATCATGCAGCTGGTCTACAACAATAGAACTAACTTCACAAAGGCAAGGGAATGGTTGAAGGGCAAAGGAGGCATATTTTCTAGAGACCATGTGTGGTCCACTCACCACTGTATAGACCTCATGATGGACATTTGCAATATTGCACCAGGTGAACAATGGCAAAGGCATAGAGCATCACCCACTTCATTTATAATCACCATTGGGTGTATGTATTAATGCAAAAGATTCACACAACAAAAGTTCCTAATATTGCTTGAATTCCCACCAATGTCATATCCTTTTTCACTAAATCCTGCATATCGATGTGGGTACAACCTTGCCATCAATAATGACTTTCTGTTGGCTCTTTCGTAATGTCATCACAATATCGGAACTGGATATCACAAGTGCAGCAGATGCGATTAGTAACATATAATGATTAATTTATTATGTTATTCTTCATAATAAGTCATGAACAATTATTTATTTAGAATTGTTACCATGGCACTTTCTTTTTCAAGAAGCTTATGGCACATTCAGCAAGAACACAGTCATTTCGTGTAGATACAACATGGATTCTAATTACATAATTCACAAATGCAAATCTTTATTTATCTCAATCAATGATGACATGGGGAATATTCATCTCCAACCAGAGCTCAACACGCAGTCATCACGTCATCGAAAATGACAAAAAACTAAACCACCAGATTAATTGCCAAGATATGCCATGTTAACGGGATAGGAACAGAAAAATATTTTTTGTATATTTTCTGATTGTGGGAAAATATTTCCCTAACCGTAAGCGGTTAGGGAGGACCGACTATAAAAGGTGACCGCGGGCACCAATATCGAGGTCTGATACTTCTATCTCAATAACCTAACCCATCTCAAAAGTCTAACTTGGACATCGAAGGGATCACATTGGGAAACCCACCTGACGCTAGTCTTCGTGCAGGTCCGCACCACTTTGAGCGACCTTAGGTTCCTACGGAGATGTCAAGATCAATTCTAAACCAAGTCAAGCTTGTCAACTATCCCAAATCTGCCACCGATATCAAGCACTATTAGAACATATAGTCTAATATAATTGTCAATTGCAATTTTGCAATTGAGTGATGGCTACAATATGGAGGATCGACAACGCAATTAAGAAAAGTAGTGGTAAGGTAAATCACTTCATCCCACGGTTACAAGCGTAAATGGTCCACCTTCACTTCTACACACATCAAAGTTTGCAACTGACTTTTACATAGATGCTTGGAGAAGTTGATATATTTCCATTCTAATATATGTTTGAGCATGTGCTACCTAAAGCTAGACAAAGAAACTTAGGAGTCTGAGTTTAATCTATATGTTCTAGAGGTTTATCACGATGACTTGGAATCAGATGATAGATCGAGTACGCACAAACAGACTGATCTACTTTTAAACAACACAGAAAACCCAGCATGTCCATCCTGATTTATTTCAGTGGCCGTAGAGACAGGTTGAGACCAAGGTCTGCCATACTGAAGCATATAGCCCGTACCGGACGGTACGTACCGATCCGACAGATTACCAGTACGCGGACCGCCCGGTACCGCTACTATGCTACAGTACTATACTGTAGCACTGCTACAGTATGAAAAAAAAGTATAAAATTGTTCGGTACACCAGGGTGTACCGCTCTGTACACCCCGATGTACCGCCTGGTACACCGGTATCATACCGTACCGAGCTCGGGTCGAAACGCCGGTACGGTACGGTATGACGAACCTTGGTTGAGACTACTATGAGTAGAGCTCGATGTTTGAACATGATATGGAACCGATCAGTCGTCCACAACCACAACGTAGCTCATCAATCTCAATTGTCCAACCATCAAGGCAAGGGAGAAGGTTGCTCATCACGATCGGTAGAGCCATTGAATGCCAATGATGAGAAACAAGTCCATTCAAATGACGAGACATTTCCATCAAAATTTTACTCTTCATCAAGTCCACAAAGATGACATGTATAGCACATCTCCCGATGCTCATGGTCAAGACTGAGTCTTATGTTCCAACCATCAAGGCAAGGGAGAAGGTTGCTCATCAGAATCCATAGACACATTGAATGCCACAGATGAAAAACAATTGGTTCAAATGATGAGACATCTCCATCAAATTTACTCTTCATCGGGTCAACAAAGATGACATGGATAGTACATCTACCGATGTCGATGGTCAAGACTAAGAGTCTTAATAAATGAAGTGTGAACCATGGAATGAAGTTTTGCTCATGTCACCTATGATGAAAATCATGGCGCATGTAGATCCACTCAGAATGGTGTCACAGAAAGGACAGGAACAAAGGAAAGACAATAATATCAAGGAGAATATGGCACTAACATGATGTCAAGTCAAACAAAGGTTACACTTGCCCACAGCCCTGTAGCAAGCATGGATCTCATGGTCAATAATATTTCGATGATAGTTGGTCCTTGGAATCTAATGCTTTGGATTCAAGAAACCAGTATATTAATGACACACACTTCTAGTACATTACACAAAGCATAATATACTTGCCATGGCTATACTTGCACCAACAACCTATTACCAACAGCCTATTACAACACTAGTAAGTAACAAAAAAGTCACAACTACCACGTTGTTTCATTAGTACATAACATAGCAATATCAAAATATCATTCAAACAAATATGAGACATGAATTCTCCAATATTATAATATTGATTGATATCGAGTAAACATCAAAGATCTATAACATTAATACATAAGTCAAATAATGATCATTTACATGGTAGTAGGCCAATTATAAGGTATGATATTTAATTTCTGCTTATGAGTTTATAATACATGTTTCTTGTGTCATGTTTTTTTATTCCCTAATTTAGTACAAGTAAAATTGATTAATGGTTTGTAAAAAGGTACAAAAATGTTTTTCTTCATTATATAGTCTAAATTTATCCAAAATTTAAGTTTCTTATTCACTATGTAAACAAACTTTAGGATTAGGATTTATTTTTAAATAGATTCAACTGGTACTGATAGGTCTCAGCCATACTGATTGTTTCAACCTGTACCTACATAATACAGGCAACATATTGTTATTGTACTGAACCAAGATTTTAATCCATGACCAGTATAATACAATTCACTTTTAATATTTTATTATTTTACTCAATGATACAGAGCAAAACTGGTATCCTACCTACCTGGTAAATTACAACAAAATTCAAATCTTTAAAAACCAGTATTGTAATAACAGCTGATTACAGATAAAAATAACAAATTGAGGGTTCCACCAAGGAAGTATTAAGAGAATTAATAACAAAAAAAAGATAATTAAAAAGAATATTATCATTGGTATTATTATCAATCCTAAAAGAAAACAGATTTTGAAGAAGTATCTCATTTGACCATTTTCACAACAAGAGAAAATAGAACACAAAAGAAAGCAGAACACACCAGATTGTTCAATCTATTGTCCTCTAGGCTCTTGTTGGATAACAGAGATAGGCAGTGAGCAAGTCCACCAAGGACATTCTTGAGTTTGCTCTTGTCAACTAAGTATATTTGGTTGTTTCTCAGAATATCAACATAATTGTCAAGAACCTGAAGAAACAGAAACTTTTAGTTCATATTCGTTCTCAAAAGAATCAGAAATTCTTGAGTGACAAGCAATACCGCAGACAATTCTACTTAAACAAAATGTTCAAAACAAGTACCTCCAAGATATTAAATAACCAAAATCATTTCCATCATAGACTATAAAGTGGCACATAAGCCATATCAAACAACACATACGGTCAAGTTCTAGAATCATACATCTGAAAAAAGAACATATATATAGTATGTCATAACATAAAAAGAACAAATATATAGTATGTGATAACATAATCATAACTGCACCTAGTACATATAACCAACAATAAAATCCTTTGCCAGAAACCCATGAAGAAAATGAATTTCGTCATAAATATTAACACACGAAAAAAATGAGAAATATGTCATACTCAAGTCAGAATGTGTACTAACCTTCTCAGCATATAACATAAAGGAGGATGGATAGTTCAGAACAACAAGTTCAAAAAACTTGAAAGCCATTAGCCGAACATCAACTGCCAGATGTGACATTGCATTAAAAATGTAGGCCATTAGCAAAGAAATTATAGGTGCAGTAATTTCCTGCACAAAAAAAGATCCAAAGTTCATCATTTAAACAGACAACATAAAATGAGTCACTGATCAAAGATTGTCACATGGATCATTTTAAAATAACACCACAACAGAATGAGCAACATCAGGGAATTAGAAAAATGGGGCACTGAAACATAAGTAATCTTGAGATCAAAAACATGCCCAGAGCAATGTTCTTCATTAATTCTTAATCAGAAATATATGACAAAAAAGAAGATGGGTCTTCAATTCTCACTGAAACCAAAGATTCAGTCTTATTATGCACATTAGTAGGAAGGAACCAATGAAATTTCGAAATGCAGCTTAACTAAAATAATCTTTAAGCTTTTCAATCTCATGCAACCAGAACCCTTTGTGAAATATCAAAGATTTAATTTAGTCAACAAAGGTATAGAATAGTGATGATATAGAAGAAGTTGGTCATTTTTTTTCATATGTTCTTGGATGAAGCATGATAGAATATGAAACAAAGATCTCACAAAGGAACAACATTACAGCTATTCCCTACCAGAAGATAACTGAGGTGACCAGGTTCGTTCTAAACATAATGTTATAAATGTTGTAATTTATCTCTAGATTGGTGAAGAAAAATGCTGGAGTGGTCGTTTTTCCTTCATCTAGTCAAGTTAGTTTCCTTTTACTTCTCATTATAAATCCTTATTCATATTATGGGGAAACATGATCACGTCTTGTTTGCAAGTAAAATGTACTCATGCACCTACATGCATAGACAAATATTTCATAGTAGATAATGAGTGATGCATACATAGAATGAGGGTAGTGGAGGGGAAAACAAGGAGCATGCTTACTAGCCATCTAAACCATACTATTTATTGGCTTTTTCACACACCTAGGGGCTAGGAGTATGGGAGGATGGAGGGAACACAAGAACTGCAAGTACTAACTGCACAAACTGTGTGAGCATGGTATCCAAACTTGCATAATTCCATGCTAAGTACATATCAATATAGCACCAAACTGGCTGAGTCCATGCAACATATTATAGAAATGAGATCATAAATCCACAGAATTGAGAACCATAGGAATAAAAAGCTACGCCAGAAGGGTTGAGTTGCTAGGGGCAAGCAATTGCAGAACTCAATGTTCAACAAAGGAAAAGAAACACCTCTTCTTGGGACAGAGAAATTACAGGAATGTCTTCAAAGAAACATATTATTCTAGAAATTATTTATTAATCTTTTACCTAAAAGTGAATTTATTTATTAATATGTTACCTAAAAGTTTAGAAGTATCTATAAAATAATTTATATAAAAAAAGTGTTAAGTGTTCCATCTTAAACATTTTGTTCCAAAATAAATAATAAATGGCAAAGAGGTATCAGAATTTTATATTCTAATAAATGTTTCGTACATTAATTACAAAGTTGAGGTCTCAAGACATTCTATAAATATTTGGATCATTTAATTTTTTTTAGATGATTTTATTTTCTTTAGTAGATAGTCTAATTAGATTTTATCTTTTTATTTTTTATCAAGAAAAAGAGCGTAGTATTATGCTTAGAAGAATCAAAATCATAATAGCATTGGTTCTTTCTCTCTCTCTACATATATATACATATTTCTTATTAGACAATGAAAGTTTGTTAATTTGCACAAATTTTCTAAACCTGAATAGCTTTATGGGACCGAAAGGTGAGCTAATGTTAGCTTAACCATGGATCCACAGGCTAGGTTTCGTTAGAGATGACATGGAATAAAAGTTTCTGGCAGAGAACTCTTTACATGCATCTAGAGTCAAATATTTTCCCAAAGCCAGGGGGGGCTTTGACCCCCTTGGCCCAGATATTGCTTTGCCACTGTCTTTGTGAGTAATGTTAAAACTAAAGGAATGTATGAATACACCTAGCAGTTCAGGACATAATCCTATTTGATTATAATGCACAGATATATTTATACACAATTTGATATCAAACAGATATAGGTAACAGAACAGCATAAAGATATGTATGCTGTCTTATATGCTTATCTAATCAGGGAAAGTGAATAAAAGATCAATCATTCTAAAGTACCTCTTTTGATGATGGAAAGATCACAGTTTTTAAGAGATGATATAGTGTCTCACGAACCACCTTGTCATTGTCACTTATTCGTTCACGGAGCTTCTCTATAATGGCGAGCTTGTGAAGCTTAAGCTCCAATGGGTATTTCAAGACAAGATCCCTTACACCAGTTAGTGCAGCTTCATCCCAAAAAACAAAAAAATCTATCATGAGCATCTTGATTAATAGCTCAGAAGGTACACATTATAGAGTCTTACTAGATACAGAAAAAAGAAAATTAAAGAAACTTCTCAGGCAAAATGCTCAATGAGGCATCATAAAAGCAAATAGGTCCATCGACAAGTTCATAAGAGACTCTTATGCCTTAAATAATAATTTACATTCCTGTCATGCACTGTGAGAATAACTATTGCTGTAATAGTCCAACATAGAGTATCCAATCTAACCAAATTCAATGATGAGTAGTGTTTCTATGCTCACACCTACTTAGTCCTTCCAACACACTCAGAAATCTACTGCTAGACCTCTAAATCATCACCTTTCTATGCAAAGCATGCATCTTTGTTTTTTCTAAGAACAAAGTGATCTAACATAAAGAAAACTAGTTACTCTGATCCTCTTTTCCTCTTGCTGACAACCAGCAGTAGCGTCACCTTCGACATAAACAACACTGTGTTCACAGACAATAACATCCACATGATACAGCAGAACAAGTAGTATAGTAGTGGGCTCACCTAGGTTGTTACTGGAATATCCAAAACTAACTCTAAACTATCTTTCTCTTCAGTCAAAATAAAAACACCATGACCATAAAATACCATTCATAAATTGAACTGAGTTTTGTTTAATAATAACGCATAAAAAATAAAGAACACTGAAGTAAAATACCACGCCGTATCTTAGCATTGTGATGGGATGTCTGCTGAAGGAGCTCTCTTAATGTCAGGCCTTTCTTGTTCACAGCAAGCCCATCCCTCTCTGATGCAACACTCTGCTCTGGAAGCACAATGGCTGCTTGCAGTGTCCCAAAAGCCATTGTAAGAAATGATGTTTTGAAAATTTTGACAAACTGTGCATAAGAAACCATCAGATACCTTTGGACTTGATCTCAGTGCTGGTAGCATTCCTTGGTGGTGGCAGCTTTCGGCCAATCTTATGTTTTATTTTCTATGAAAAGGAAAACAAGTTAATAAAAATACTATCAACCTGAGACCACAGGAAGAACCAAAGGGGATTATATGAAAATCAAAGGATGTTTTACTTTGAAATCCACACCACGCTTTGGTTTCTTGGATGAAGATGGCTTGGGCCGCACCATGATAAACTCTGATCAAGAAAAAAAAGGAACAAAATTATAACTAAAAGTTGATAAGTGTATTTGTGAAACTCTCTTTTCTACCAAAGATCGTAAAGGGGTAGTAGGACCAGATTGCGAGATCGTAAATAATTTATTTCAACAACGTTTAACATATATACATATACTTAAAGAAATTTAAATATTTTTTGGTTAAGATTTAGTAAGTCCCATATATTCTTATGCTAATAATTGCATTTTTATTAAAGTGAATGCATAATCTCTTATTTGAATGATAATCATTTTATTATTTTGTGTCTCGTTCATTTTCTTAGGTCCACAACTACAAGATTGGTCTCTCCACTCAAGAATCTTAACTAAAGAACGATACACTTTGAATAAGAAAGTGATGGTGCAGTTGTATCATTGATGATACTTCGACTGCAATAATTAAAAATATTGTAACATTCACCAAATGCATGCTTTCTAATTTTAATACACAAGAACAACATAGCCATGTGTTAATTTTGATACACAACAATAACATAATTAAAGTCTCAACTATTCGGGATTGACTATATGGATTTTTTATCATCATTGAAATCTATAAAAAGTCATGTGTTTAGTCAAACTTATAGTACTTAAATCTTTATTTATAATTTCCATTAAGATCCTTTTAGATCTTTCTCTACCTCTCTTCGTATCACTAATATTAATCATTTCATCTCTTCTAACTATCACATTTGGAGATCTCCTAAAAACATGTCCATATCATCTTAAATTATTCTCTCTCATCATATCCTTTATTGAAACAATACCTAGAAGTTCACAAATAAATTTTTTTTTTCTATCTTTCCTAGTAACTTCCCACATCCATCTCAGTATTCTCATCTCAACAATATAAACTTCTTGAATATGTTGTCTCTTAACTACCCAATACTTGAATCCATAAAGCATTATTGCCTCACAACTATCTTATAAAATTTAACTTTTAGTCTCAAAGGTATCTGCTGATCGTTTTCTATTTTTAAAATCATGATGGAAAAAGGCATACGTTAACTTTTTTGCAATAAGATATGTTATAAGCTAAACATCATAGCCTACTCAATCATAGGTGCTGGCATATGAACAATTACATGAACAGAATCAAAGCGGAGAACTTATTATGCCTTTGCATGACCTCCCTTCTCTTATCAGGCTAGATAAATATCTCCAAGTTTCTGAATTAAAATGCAATGAAACTGAATGGAGGCTGCATGCTTCCGCAAGATTTGAACACTTGAATGCAAAAACTTGTCTAAGATAATCATATATAATTACAACCTTTTTTCTCTACAAATGAATTTGGATACCTAAGAATTAGGAGAGGGAAGGAGAGGACAGAACAGGAGAGAGGAAGAGACGATATCACATAAGTGAGGAGACGAGAGCAGAAGAGAAGGGAGGACACAGGAGGATACGAGAGAGGAGGAGAGGATGAAGTAGGGCAGGGGAAGAGTGGAGAGCACGAGAGAGCAGAGGGAGGAGGAGAGGAGAGAACAGGAGAGGATGGGGTTGGGAGGAGAAAAGACGAGAGAGTGAAGGAGACGGTAGGAGAAGAGAAAGAGAAGGGATGAGAAAACAGAGGAGAAAACAGTACCAGCGAGGAGGCGCCTGCGACAACGCAGCGGGATGAGGCGGCTTGCGGCAGCGTCCGAGGGGAGGTGGCGCGGCCGGCGATGTTGGCAACGGCGGCTGCGAAAAAGCTAGGGCTCGCTTGTCGCTCGTCGACTGTCTTCCGGTGCGCGCCGCCTACGTTTTTTTTATTTGTCTTTCATATGAATACATTGAGTCGACTCGGTTTTTACCGAGTCGACTCGCGAGTCAACCGTGTCCACTCTATTTACGTTTCGGAGGCGGAGTCAACTCGCTAGGCTTGATCTAGACCGTAAGATCACAAGATCCTACGGCTCAGATCCACCGAGACTTGCTACAAATATGTTCCTTCGAACATAAAAGCCAAGCTTATATGGAAGGCAAAAGATGACAGATCCTACGGTCCACATCCAAGCGAATGAGCCGGATCAAATCATGGCCACAGACACAATACGTCGCTCGAAACAGAGCAAGTCACTCGTGCTCTTTACTCGGAGAACACTGTTGCTTCTTTGGATGTTCCTTTCGATATGTCACCTGTCACATGAAATGCTTCCCCCGTAATCATCACTACACCTGTTTGAGGCACTGTTGCGTGATATCTCTGGCAATCTCTGTCCTCTGTTCATGCTGCTAACTCGCAATTTGAACCATGGAGCTGCTGGTATTTTATGTGGAGTGAGATGAACTAAGATCTGGAGAAACTTCCATCCAATCCATTATCATTGAATTTTTATGGTTTGAACTAAACTATATTCTTCGTGGTTATTAAGCTGCTTGTTCTCGTTAGATTCATCTGTCTTACTGCTGAAACCGTACAGGAGTCGAAGAAAAGCTCAGTTTTTGATGAAATTAATGTCTGCGTGCAGCTTGGAATTCTATGAAAGAGACTAAGAATTAGGAAGAAGAACACCAAAAAAAAAAGCATCCCCCTCGTCGAACCAATCCAGTGCATGCAGTCGTCTCAAGGATTCTCGTCAAAAGGACTCCACGGGTGCGTTCTCGAGTTTCTTTTGGAGCTCGGATTCTTCGTGTCTGAGCCGGTCGTTCTCGAGGGCGATCTGATCACGCTCCCTCATCACGCGGTTTAGCTCGTCGAGCAGCTGCCGGTTTGCCGACTGGAGGTGGATGACCTGTGACCACAGCTCACTGAGGTGCTTCTGCTTTCTCATCCGTGACCGGCGGGCCGACTCTCTGTTGGAAATCATCCTCCTCTGCCGCCTCTCTTCTGCCAGGCTCAGTTGGCGCCCACCTGCCTCATCCGAAGTCGTACTGCCGTCAAGGAAGGAACCTGGAAGACCGAAGCCATGCATCAATGGCTTTGCCTGGAGCTGTTGCGTGAGATAAGGCCCGAACAGAGTGCCGAAGTGGGAGGAGGTAACATCGTTCTGAGGCATGTTGTAATGGGCTCGGAGTGAAGGTGAAATGCTGGCGACCTCCCCAGGATGCATGGTTACAATGCTCCAAGGAGGAAAGAGATGCTGCAAGCAGATGTGCAAGGGAAGGGGAGGAAAGCTTGAAGTCTGGTAAGTCAATTTATAGTCCACTCCACAGAGTTCCTCTGCAGGATAGGCAGAGCAGACATGCATGATGATGCATGCATGGTTTTTGTGTATGTGTTGTTCACCATTATGGCTCTCTGGTGGTGATCAAACAGTGATGTACAAATGCAGGACCCTCCAATTACATCACAGCTACCTGGTGCTGTAGCCATTAAACCTGGTGCTGGTTGGTCAACAGTGACAAGCATTTAGATATTTATGTCAGGGTGTTGATGGTGTAGCAAAGGAACATGATGATGGATCGTAGCATTATGGGTTTAAAGCATGAGGTCTGTGGCTATGCGCACCTGAGGAAGAGGCGCCATTATTGGTGGAAGTTGGGAGATGAACATATGACAGAGAAGGAAGACAGAGAGAGGTACTGAGAAATGTTGGCTTATTTTATCTGGTGAACAGAGCTTTCAATTTAAGTGTGATGATGCAATCGGTGGCTCACTTTCTCCAAAGTGAATGATTAGTAAATGATGACTGAAATGTTTGCATCTATATAGGCTTCTCTAAACTGGAGCAAATGGATAATTAGGCAAGTAGTGCTGCCAAGTCTTCTGGACAAAAAAAATTGTAGAATTATACTCCTCCAGCCCTTTTGAAGTGTAAAGGAGGTTCTCCTAATCCATGACAACCTTTGTTTTAAGGTCATTCTGGTTTGGAAGATCTTATTTGATTTCTTTAGCATCACCTATGCCAAGTGCAACCAATTGGATTTCAGCTCAAGTCTGCTGTTATGCTCCTCCTTTCTTTCTCTTTTCTTGATGTAAAAGAATAACAAAATGAATCTCTTAATTTCAGATCTTTGCTGTGCTGTTGCTTAGCCACATCCATGACATTGTTCTCATCTATCCCTTTCCATATGTTAATCATAGTGGATAGGTATGAATCTATTATAGTATTGCTTCAGATTCTTCCAAACCTCTGGTACTTAACTTGGATGCATACTAAATCTTGAAGTAGCATCTTGCTGAAACTTGTTCCAAGCAGTAATAATTGACCATTTAGGAAAGTTCATATTTCATCAAAAAGTGATCAGAAAACCAGGAAATGTGGGTGCTTCTGGAAATGGTGGTGCCTCATGAGTAAGCTCCTTTATCTTTGGACTAAAGAGACGTTTGCCCAGTGAGCATAGACATTGCCAGTCTTCTCTTTAGACCTGAAAATGATCTCCATTGAATAATCTGCGTCATGTCATTGATTTCTACATGATTATGGACATGGCTTTGAGGCCAACATAGATCTAATAAATGCTTAAGCACAGTATAATCCCATTCTCAGTATTTTGCAACTTGCAGAAATTCTGTCCTTTATGTTGACTATTCTTCAACTTTGCAGAATTCTCTACTAAATCAATTTCTTTTTTCCTTCTTTCAACCCTAGAGATGATTTCAGGCATATATTGTTTGTCTAGATCCATCAACAGGAACTCACTGTGCTTGTCATCATGCACAGCCTGGAGAAAGCATAACCTCACAACTCTTTTTAGATCAGTCTTGGCCTCCATTATCTTTGACATTGTTGCAGGTGCTTCAAGCTTGTGGCCCTCATAAAAAGTCCATGAGATTATTTCTCAGGTGAGCAGCTATTTTCTGGGTGATATCAGCAACCATCCTCTCCTTTTGGGCTCATGTCAAATGATCAATCACCATCCATGTATCAGTGATAGAAGATCTACAGCCCCTCTTCACATGAACTTTTGGCATCTTTAAGTCACATTTTGACTCTTTATCTCCTGTCTTCCAAAGGCACCTCTTGTGTGATTCTCTGCATTCTGTTCTTCCACTGACCTCAGGTAAACAATCCCTTAAACTTATATTTATTCTCCAAGTATTATTATTGTTATTCCTCATCTGTAATATCTGATCCTCCCAGATTCTAAACATTCTATTCCCAGTCATGATATGAATGTTTTCCTTCTCCAATCAGAGCATAAGTTAGTGATGCTTGTTAGCTGTTGGCATGACATTGATTTGGCAAATGCTGTGCCACAATCCATTTTCACCACTGGTAGTGCTTCTTGCTGAAACATATGATGAGTCACTCCGAGTCATTCTTGTTTGATCTCTGGCTTCCTCATCTTTAAGTCCAAGATCAGAATCTGGTCTCATCAGTATCATTCAACCTCATGTATGAATCAACTGAAAGAAGTACATACCATAATTTAAGCTTAACATATTAAACAATATGAGTTATTTTTCAGAAGGAATATGATTCTCTGTAAAAAACTTGATTAAAATCCAAAAAGATCATCAACTATGACATGAGAAAATGAGATTTGTATCAGAATCATGACACTAAAACCTCGTTAAGCAGGGTGAGCTGATGGTTTCCCGGTCGAAGCTACGGAGATGTACGTGCCAAGGACAGAAAGGAAAACCCTACAGACAATACAAGTGTAAGGAGAAGCAGTCTGAGGTGTTTGGTCACAGTGCAGGAAGAACAAAGAGATGATAATGATGATTGGGGTCTTTCGAGTTGCTGGTGTACCGTGTATGGAGGAGGCTGGACATGACGGCTACCTCATCTCTGCACCCTCCCTTGTCGGATAAGTTGGGATTCAGCTGTTTGTCTTTGTGTGCTGCTCTCGATCCTGAAAGCATGAGGCAGTCATCCTCTGATGTGCTTTGAGTTCTCATCGGAAGGCAAATCTTGATCATCTTTCATTTCTGGATTTTGGGCTGTTGTTGTCCGTTTCCTGTAAGCAGTCTCTTTGACTTCTCAGACATAAAACCTAACAAAGAAAGGTAAAGGTTTCTTATTTTGTGAGTGATGCATTGAGTTTTCATTGAAAGACATACAAACATAAGTAAATCTCTTGTGAGAAGTCTGCATGTAAGAGGAGATATGATTCGCAATAAATTAGATATCTATGGTTTCATAGTCATATTCTGTATGCTTGATTTATTTTATTATGAAGTAATTAATTTTATGAAAGCGGAATTCAATCTTTATCAACACAACAATTTACCTTTTTGTGTTCTTCCACATCACATTTTACTCCCACATAATCTACTTTGCTTGATTCCACACATCTAACTTGAAAAGACTGAACAAAAACAGTAAGTAAACACAAAGATTGAAAGGTGGCATCTATCAAAAAGATGTTGGCCATTGTAAACACAGCCACCACACACCAATAAGTAAAGAACAGATTGATTGTTGTGTACCTTTATGCGAGAAAGGTGCATCTGATCCTCCTTTTTATCAACATTATACCAACAGTGCTGAGAAATTGGAAGAACTCAATCCAGCTGATGGCAGAAACCAGTGGATAACCTTTGGAACAGTGAATTCTGAAGTCCACAAATCCCAAGTCACTGCCTTCTGTAGTGCCCTAAAAAACTCGACCACACTATCAATGTCACAGAACAGAAGTCAATAGTATTACAAGCCACTTACCAACTGACACATTAGGATACATAATTTCTGCTTCTGATTTTTCAGTTACTGCACTTTAGCAGAGATAAAAGTATGATTCTATATTCCAGTTGAAACTATAAAAGAGAGTATAAATTCCATGGTAAATAGTCATTAAAGAGATGGTAAGACAAAAGCATTCCAAAAATCTAGAACTTGGAATATAATTTCAGATGTACATATGCAGTAGATGGATATAGCAATCATAATGATCTTCAAAAAAGTATATGATCTGAGAACTTCTATAGAGTCAAACATGCAGGATATTCTTGTTTGCTATAAAATCAACATGAGATAAAAGCTAAATATTGAATGAGATGTTTCTTCAAAGAGAATGAGATGGGATGCATCTCATAACACTGTTGTTATATGTTCCTTACTGAAGAAGATTATTTTCTTGTTGCATGGTTTAGCTCCAGTGAGCAGTGTAAAGGAGAATTCATGACATATATGATCGAAATCCACATTGGATCTTTACAACTTAGAAGACCTTCAATTGATCCATATGTCTCAAATCCCATGTTTAGTGGCACACAAGCACAGTGGAAATGTGCCTTTTCTCTGGTAACTGACCTAAGCTACCTTCTTTCGACCATCTCATCTGCCCCATAACACGAATATTATACTGCTGCTTTCTCATCCCACCCCCCACCATCCTTGCATGAAGAAGATGAAAGAATTAAGAGTAGTGATCCTATTACAGATAGCAATGTGCAGCCAAGAAGAAGAACAGTTGTTTTTCATTCTTCACCAAAAGAAATTTCTTCCTTACAAGGGCAGTTTTGATAAGAGTTCATTTTGATTCTTGAAAATTAACTTCAGTTCAGCTCAAAAGTCTGCTTCTTCTCTATTCTCGTTAGCAGTCTGCAAAAGTGAGAAAGAAGGAAAAGAAGAACAAGTGAGCTATCATTGTTTCCTTTTGTCATTCAACTTTGTGGTGACTCCTGCTTTGACATGGCCAGCAACTTGGTGTGCAGAGTCTCCGAGAAACTAGAAGCCCTGAGGAGGGGGAGATGCGGACAAAAGACCATGGTTGGTAGACCACCATGTGATGATTGAGAGCTTTGAAGAAGAAGACGAAAAGGAGGAGGAAGAAGGTGGTCAGACAAGAAGACTGCTCGAAACAAGGCATCAAAGCTGTGCACCGAGAAGGAAAAGGGGGGTCACAGGGGTGCACCAGGGAAAGGCCTTTAACCGGTGTCTGCCATGGAGGGGCAGCAACATGATGTGGTGACCCCCACCGGGGAGTGCCGAAGCCGGCACAACCCAGTGGGGGTGGTGCCGGCCGGCCGCACCTCACCCACTCCCCACTGCAACACCCCCCCGTCTTCTCTGCTCGTCTATGATTCCTCTGCGTATGCCTCCATTTGGCTATTCCTCCTGCAGCTGCATGCGACAGATAATTATACTGTCGAGTTAGTAAGACAAAGACAGTTTCTGCTGAGCAGCTCCACTGTTGTCTCCCATCACAAGGAGGACAGATGAGATGCGTGAGCTACAAACTGGTTGGAAAAGTAGATGATTTCTTCTAGCTATTAAATGTAGTAATTATGGATTCTTGGATTCCTCGGTAATCTAAACCGAGCCCTTCCAAACCTTACATCACAAGCATTCATTGAGGTTTTAAAGATAAATTACACTTATATATATTATGTATAATTATCTTTAAAAATACAAATTATATTTGACATTTATAACCCAAAAAAAAGAAGAAGAAGAGTAAAACTGTCAGTCAGTTTATCTGATAAGTTGAAGATAATAGCCAGATCAATTAACGAATCGGACATGAAATGATAAAGATCAGCAATAGTATAATGAAAAATGAAATGAAATAAACAAACATGTGAACCTCCGATATAGACGTTGAGATGATCTATTTCACCTCCACCACCACCACCATCATCATCATCATCATCCCACATCTGTCGCAACTATACGGAAAGGAAGGTACAATACTTCGTGGTACCATCACTCTGCCTGCATCTTTTTCTTTCACTTGTTTAGGTTTGTAGTGCCCCTGTGTGGTGGGCAGTCCAATAGGATTGGCCGAGTGAGGATAAGGCAAGGATTTGTTTATGTTAACTGCTGCTAGTAGTGTTTGATATAATACCTGCGTGCGGAAAAGTACATGCATTACCATATCTTTCTTGGTGGCTGCCTCCATGGATGTCGATCCAAATGCGGGCTACTGGAGGTTAAATAATACGGTAGGTAAGTAGTGAAGGCTGAGGCAATCTCGCAAACAGCTTACGTGCACTAAGCATGGCGTTGTTAGAAGGGCGAGTGGACCACCGCCGGATCGACCTCTTGGCCGTCGCCATCGCCATTTATATTAGCTTTCACGTCGCTGTCGACGGACGTGGCGTGCTTTCCGGTATCGCCGCCGGGATTGCTGGAGTGGGGGCGCCGAGACGCCTCTTCCTCGTGAAGGAGGATGACAGAGGAGCAGCCGTGGATGCGGACTCGAGTATGGTTGCATATTGTGAACCGGTTGGGCCGTGCACCAAATCGATCTATTCTCAGATTCAATGATTCATGTTTGGGCTTACAGGGTTCTGGGCCCAATAGGAACAAGGAATCACATCAACACCAAAATAGCTAGCAAAGGCTTTATTAACTAAAATAGCTAGCAAAGGCTTTATCGAATCATTCATTGCAAAATACTAAGGAGGTAAATATCATCAAACACCATAAATCACATATAAGCCTCATCTATGCAGCAGCAGCAGCAACAACAAGCAACATTCTCCTACACGTTAAAGGCATTGCTGAAGTACCTACCACATTCATTGCCACTGCACCTTACAAGAGGATGCATCACTTTTATCAGCATTATACGCCTCGCATATAATAAGCAGTCTTTAAATATAATGCTCTCGTTGCTTGTAAAGCAATTGACGAGCCACATGTAGCGCCCCCCTTTCGGCTGATGAGTACCGAGTACAACACACATGGAATGAGATAAAAGAAATGGCAACATAAAATAACAGTGTTTATAAAAACACTGTTGCAAGGAGCTATGTAGGTTTACTAATAATATCATGCAAAACATTTGAGGAATGATCCAAATACTTCCATGCAAGTATACTTGCATTTATACTCGGTGTTGCCAAATAAAAAGCTCTTGCAAGATAAAGCCGCATACAAAAAAGCATGTTCAAGGAGACAAGAAGGAAACATGTCCAAACATACACAGGTAACTTCAGACAAGGAAAGCATGTCTGTTAACGAAAACTTAGCACATGCCTCCAATGTGGACCCAACTGAAAGAGATGACTGTTCTTTTACCTATTCATCTACATGCTTATTTTGCTCATTCTGATCACTGTTGCAATTTTGAATGTCAAAACAATCACATTAGTTAGCTTCATGAGCAAAACAAAAGGTTTAAAGTGTTTGTTCGATGAAATCAAAAGCATCATATGTATGTTGTTAACAAATAAAGCTGGTCTCGACATTGAATTATAAGGAGAACCATTTGGCAGGCACATAGAATCAGATCTCAAAGGTTTTGCTTCAAAGGACAGTTAGAGAAGACATTAAAGAGAAATTGTTCCAAATGAAGCAGGATAAGACATCCAAGAGATCTTAGCTAATGTTCAACAAGATGCAATTTATCAGTACCACAGTAGATTTCTCCGTGAGTGAAACTATAGACAAACCAGAAAGATTCAGTGCATGGTTTAGTAAATATATCATCTGGTGTTTCGTAAGCAAACGTCACAACCAGAACACAAGAAAAAATCAATGCACATAAAATAAAATAAAATTCAATCAGTATATCCCATATGATAGGATATGATCAATATGGGACTTCTTTGGTCATCATAAAATATTCAGATTGTAAGCAAAGGAATTTCATGAAAGTCAATATGACCTATTTATCACCAGATGTAACAGCAAAGTACACCCATACTTGAGACTATATCCCAAGAAGACAAATATATGTAGAATGTGACTATATTTATTTTTGAGAATACATTATGAAAGAAGAAAAATAAAGAACACAGAAATCAAAATTAAGAAATCTCCATTTCGATAAATCACTGCAGATTTCGATACATTATAACTAAAACCCAACAGCTCAGCTCAATATAGAATCGACAACAATGCCCCATTGTCTACAGGCCATGAATGATTTACTCTAACAAATAAAGCATGTTAAGAATTTCTAAGCTTGTTTTATGAAAATTAATTAATATAATTAACAACCATCGCAAGAAGGCTAGGAACTCATCTCTTTAACCAGAATGGTCTGGTGATATAAAGCAAAATCCATAAGCAAGTAATCAACCAAGTTCAGCAGCTCATATACAAGAAGGTTCTGAACTCATCTCTTCAACCAAAGTGGTTTGGCGATATAAAGCAACATGCATAAGCAAGTAATCAACCAAGAGCAACAGCTCATCGGAATATAACAATTACAAAACCTGGAAGAGAAAAGGGACCATATTGCATCAACCCAAATAAACAACTTACATGCTGCAAAAGTTATATTTTCACAAGCCACATTTATTCAGATTGTTATTGATATATAGTAGGATCTTGGAAAACCAACTTCCAATTGAACAGTTGACAGAACTCTAACAAATACCTCATTATCACTAGGGCTGTCCTACAACAGAAAAATAACATTGTTATAGATCAACACAACAACATTGGAATAGAAGATCACCATAGCCTGGTGTGCACTTAAAATAGAACCACCCTGGTTTACCAGTTCTAAGCTTCAGGTAACACTTCAAAATCATACCTGAGAGGAGCTTCATCACCGGGGATAACACTACCACCTGCCCTCCATGCCTTCTGCTTCTCATATTCAGGATCATCTGTTGGCAACTCGAATCTACAAAGGGGACAGGTGTTACGGATCCCAAGCCATGGCAAGATGCACTCCTCATGATAATGGTGCAAACATGGCAGCCTCTTAACTCTGTCCTCTGCCACGATCCCATCCTTACAAACCGCACAATCGGCGTCAATGTCGGCGGCGTCTTCTTTTGTCATAACAGCTGAAGGGAGGTTCTCGACCACTGATTTTGCTGCTGGAGGGCTACCCTTGGTGTTGCCATCCTGCTCGGTGAAATGCCCAAACAAGACCTCGTAGGACTCGTAATCAGATGTGTAGACCAGGCCATCTTGATCCTCGAAATAGGCTTCGACATCATCTGGATCAAAAGGGCTCCTCCCTAAATTGTTCATGGCCAAAAGGATCTCCCAATTGACGTTTCTGACAACATCTTCTGGCTCAACCTCATCACGACCCGATCCCCCAATGTCATCAGATCTCTCCTCATCACCAAGAACCATGATACTAAGGACATCCCTTTCTACGTCCTGACCATCGATCTCCTCCCAATCAAACCCCTCGTTTGCATCTCTCCGGCCGTCGCTCAATTGGAGGGTGTCCCAACAGAGAGGAAGACCTAAATCGTCGGAGATCCTATATCGGTCGACTTCGCCGTCATCAGAGATCCCGGCAATCTGCTCGTTGCCCATCGCCACGATCTGCCCATCGGAGTCCGAATCAGAGTCGAACCCAACAACCCTAAGGCCGCCGGAACCTACGGGCCGGGCCCTCGAGAACTCGGTCGACTCGGAAGGGGAGCTCCTCCTTCCGATGAAGAAATCATCCGCTGCCCAGTCCGGTACGACAACCTCCCGATCCACGTCCTCCCCTGCGTCGTTATCGTCGTCCCTCTCGAATCCTGACCCTAGCCCCAGTCCGAGACCGATGTCGAGGCTGCAGGGAGGACCGATCTCCTCGGGGCCCTCGGAAACCCTAAAGACGGGGGAACCAAAGGGCTCGGGAAAGGGATCCATGGCAGCGCCGGAGACGGAGGGCGGAGGGCGGCGGAAGAGGTCGAGTGAGAGCGTGGCGTGGTCGTCGTCGTCGTCGTCATCGGAGTAACCTGAATAGTCGGAGCCCGAGTCAAGCTCTCCAAAGGTGGGGCCGGACGAGAAGACAGGGACAAAGGGATCCCGATCGGCGATGGCCGAGCCGGCGGCGGATTGGGAGGGCCAGAAGGAGCGCGGAGGGGGGAAGCGAGCTGGTGGTTCTTGGTGGTCGCGATCGTCGGTGAGGCGGAGGAAGAGGTTGGGAGCGTCCGCCATGGAAGACGATGAGATTGCCAGGGAAGAAAGAGAGCGTCGCCTCTCCACCCGAGGGGTTGGATGGGGGAGAAATTAAGGGCGGGTTCAGGGGCGTTTCGCGTCCCCAGATGGGGAGCGATTGATGTCACGAAATCACGCGTTGGCGAGCATCAAGAACAGCGCCAGCCACTCTGGCCCGTTCGATTCGCGCCAAGTCACCATATCGCGAATTGAGTCGGACTGTAGGCAGGGTTGACCGGTCGGCGGATAAAGTGGTCTTGAACCTGCGAACGGGTATGTATCAGATTGGATGTACGGCACCAGGACCCACGACACGGCCCCTACTCCCTCCCAGGTGCAAGTCGAGGTAACCAAACCGACGAAGGAAATTAAACGTTGGCTTAGACAACGTCTGAAGAATTCATGGGTGACCCACACCTGTACGATTTCAGGGGTGACGCGGTTTCGCGAACAGACACAGCGACGTAAGTGGGTCCCGCTCATCCAGGCCGTGTCCCCGCCCTGACATATTTCTGGCTGATTCAGTCGAGCAACGGCTAGGCGCGAGACCCTGTCAAGGAGCAACAATTTATCTAGTTCTACCCATCCGCCCGGCACCCAACATGACCCACCGGTGACGTAAGTGGGGCATGGGACACGTAAGATTGACTTTCTTTGATATCCGGATTTATCCAAATCCGATCGAAGACTTCGATCCATTGAAATTTAGTTGAAATATTTTATTTCTAGGATTTGGGATAAGAATAAAAAGTAGATACCAAAATAATTAGTCGAATGCATACAAATGCATTTTGTCTCCATGCCTAATTGATCCATTATATTTATATTTGACTCGAAAATATAAATCTGAAATGGGTTCGGATTAATTAATTGGATTAAGATTTAGATTTTTTACAATTTTATTTTAATCATATCGTAATGTAACAATGATCGACCAATAATGATCATTATATTTACATGGCGTTAATGATTGACCAACAATGATGGATGAAGATGGACTTGTTAATGTTGTTCACTTTATGGATTTGTTTTTGCATGTACACTAACACAATAAATTATCCAAAGCATACAAAGAGGAATCCAACAATTGAGTAATTGAATTACCTTCCAGTTTCATAGGCAGGTCCAAAATCTTATGGAATCCAAGGATTGATGGAGATCCCATGTCAACAATCTGCACGTCCTGTTCATCAAATAAAGATGATTAACAAATGTTTCTTGAATCGTCGGAATGATTAACACAGCCTCTCTTACATTAGAAATGTGCAGCATGAAGATGGAATCAATCTTCACGGTTAATCCTTCAATAAAGATTTCACATACTTGAACAATCTGCATCAATGAAAGAATAGCAACAAAGTGACAAGAGCCATTGATGAACATGAACAGAAGAGTTGTGAGACCTGTAACACTATAAATGTCCATTCAACCAATTCAGCTTATATTCTGCTACAACCTTTCCACTAACAGAAAACACTTCATACTGTTGAAACAGAGAAATCACTGTTTGAATCTGCGTTTACTTTTTAAGCAGTCCAAGTCAGTGACAGGAATATATCACAGAAAGATATGAATTGCTTTTGGCTGGAATATTCCATGTGTCTGCTGAATGACCTATTACAACATTTTACTGCTCAGTAACTTAAGATTCAACATGTGAAGAAAAAATTAAAATGCTTATAAAAATGCCAAGAATTAAGCTGTAGTACTTGCACTAAATAAGTTGAAGATTCTCCAATGGCAACTACAACCTTGCCTTATCAAAGCAATGAAGGAAATTATTCTTAGGTCATTCCAAGATCTCAATGATGTACTAGTTTGACTGTTTCTGCATTGTACAAATGACAGTAGCTGGGTAAATGTACATTTTGTTTCCTTTGTGTGCCTCTGCCAATGGATTTAGAGAACAAATATCTTATGAAGTCCATAGAGCTTTCTTAGTGCATCAGGGTGCTCTATAACTGTCCAGCATAAATTTGCTTCAGTCAGGATATAATTGTCTGACTAGCAGAACATTAAATACTGTCTTCCTCTACTAACTTCTCAGCATGTGGCATACTTTGCCACCGTACCTGCGTTTTTTTTATATATAGGAGTACAATCAGTGTAAAAGTTGTGCCAGACTTTGTGCCTCCAACTTGACATCATATGGTGAACTTCAAACAGAAGACCAAGTATTCACGGTCATAGCCAGACAAAATTCAAGGCACAAACAAATTGCCCAGATTAGAGATGTTGAGAAGCTCTGTTAGATGGCACATGTTATCTCTAATAATACAATATAATAACATTAATAAAATTGTAAGTGTTGGGTCATTATTTTTATTTTGAAGAATTTGACACATTGAATTCAGGGAGCCGTGGGTCCTACATAACATTATGAAGAAACTCAAAATAGCATGATAAAAATATAATCCAAAAGAGATGACTTTTGCTAAAGTGGGATATCTCTTAGAAATCAGGGTAAGGGAAAACAATATGAAACACATACTGAAAAAGGAGTTCTCATGTGAATAACAGAACACAAAACATGCTATGGAAGTGTGAGAACTACCGACTCTCTAGATCTCAAATCCTTGACAATCATAAGTGTATCAGTAATTAAAAGAAGAGAGAGCTTCTATTACGATAAGTGACCACATAAATATATCTATGAAGTATCTTGATTAACATCCATTGGAGAAATTTATAGTTCCCTAAATAATGTGATTAGATTATAGAAAAGATAATTTAGCAACAAATTAATCAAAGAACTTTGGAGAATATTATACATAATCCCCATCAGCTGGAGACCAACACATGGCCATCACCATGCATTGTCATAATGATTTGAATTATATATCCGATGCTTTTATAACAGCCCAAAAAGCAGAATGAAACAATCAGAGAACTTTGAAGACCATTGCAGTGTTATCCACATTAACTTCAGATCAACAAGACTCATCATTTTGCTTTGCCTTTGGCAAAAACAGAAAAACATGGTTCTACATATGCAAAATGATGTAATCAATAAAAATCAATAGCAGAATTAAATCCTAAGCAAGGGATTATGAACTTGTAATCATGCTGCGAAAAATAAGCAAGTCTTCTATCAGTGTTCACATAACACTTCCAAAGTAATTGATAGTAGTTAGAGGTATTATGTCTGAAAAAGAATCAATGTCATACTTGAGATGATTGGCAATACACAGCAATCAGAGAACTTTGAAGACCTTTGATGTATTATCCACATATAATTCAGATCAACAAGCCTCATCATTTTGTTTTGCCCCAGGCAAATACAGAAGTAAGAAAATACGTATAGATGGTAATTTATGAAACAAAACCATTATTGATACAACCCATCAGATTTTCCTAACTTGTTCCACATAGGAGACTTCAAGAAATCTAAATTATCATATAACTATGCAGTCATAATTTCATGGTGCAAAAGCAATTCTTCAGTAGCTCATAGTTAGATGTCTTGTACATGCTAAATCATATAATGCAATTTTTCATGGTATTTTGTGGTCAAGCAACACAATACTTGTACAAATACATTTCCAGGAACAATGGTGACATAATGACACATGAACAGGAAATTCAGAAAGGTTTTTCTCTACCAGTCAGATCAAGTTATCTAACAATTGTATCCTTTAGCAACTACTTTGAAAGTGCACAGATTAGTTATCAATTCAACGATGCAAATTAGTCATCAATTCGATGATGCAAATTAGTCATCAATACGAAGATGCAAACCAGCCAAATAGAGAAAAAAACAATCTGTAGCCATCAACATGATGTTTGCATATGTAATGTAGAGAGCTTCCAACTCACCCTGATGTCATGCGGGACATTGGATATGCCTTTTAACAAATTATTGAGGCAACATCGACTTCAAACTTATCGTTTCATCAAATGAATTCCAGTAATTGGTTAATTTTGTGCTATCTGAGAATTTATCTTAAAACTATATATTGTTGAATTTCTTTCCTGATAAACTAGAACAACATTTATGAGAGATGAATCACAGGAGATTCACCCCTCGGAAATAGTAACGTTATACAACTTCACGCTGCCTCGAAATCTCGATTGACAAGAGAAAATACGTAAAACAAAGGGAACCTCACACAGCATCAGATACGCCATTAGCAAACCTGTAAGTTCAAATCACTAAATACCTTAACGATTCAACTCATCGACAAAACCAGAACCACTAAAAGATCCCAAAAGACGAAACTTTTACTCCATGAACCGAAAACATCAAGAAAAACAAAATGCAAAAGTCGAGAAAAGCGTTTTCTGTGTCAGTGGGATGTTAATTCCACCCGATCTTTCTGTGTTACCATCATAACAAGAAAGAAGAAATTGGCGGACAAGAAGATACGAAGTCAAATAAAAACAATGGAGCGACGCGAAACAGACTCTTAGGTCGGAACCGAACGGGAAAGGAGGCTAGATTTCAAGAACCTAAAGATCAAAAGGCCGGAAAGAGAACAAGAAAACATTGAAGGACACTGAGAACCCGGAACGAAGCCTCGGGTTTCAACGGAGTGACGAATCGACGAGCACGCACCGCGGCTTTATGGGAGCGGTGGTTTAGGGTTTCTCCGGGTTTGAAGGTATCAGCTAGGGCTTTAGCCAGTATCCTATGGGCCAACAGCCTATTCACATATTACGATGCGTCCATTGGACGTTGGTTGAGACTGGGCCGTATTGGGCCTTTCATATCACTCCTTTTCATGTTGGATATCACGATAAAAAAATTATAAATAAAAATAATTTTTTTTATGAAAGATAAATGATGAAACGAGAAATCAAGCCCAAGATCCTATGATGTGCTACTAAAATTTTTATCAGCTAAGTTAACAGATATTAATATCATACTTGTACAAACCATGATTAAATGAGTTTGGATCAATCACTCTTAAAAAAGATATATATATATATATATATATATATATATATAGATGAAGAATGATCCAATGCCCAGAGAAAACCAGAGTTTGAATTTGGATCATGTAAACAAGCAGAAGGAACATATAATTTAGATGGTTTGTGGAAAGAGATCAAAAAGATGGAAGAACACGACATCTTGTTACAATGATTAACCTTCCAAACCCCTTCAAATTAAAA